TCAATTCCTCTTAATAATTGAGTTTTTGTTTAGTATAATTGTAGTTTTTAGTTTTTAATTTTGGGTTTTATAACTTTTGTAATTATTAAAAATCAAAACTAAAAATAAAAAGTAATAATTATGATAATATATTACAAAAATACATAAAAATAAATGATTTTTTTTTTTTTGTTTAGGATAAAAAACTTTATGAAAATCAAAATCATACTAAACAGAATTTTGAGTTATCAATTAAAAATTTTTAAAAAGCTAAATATAGTATTTTAACTTGTAGTAATAATTGTGTTTTTATGTATAGTTTTGTAGACCTTTTTTGTAATTATGTCAAGAAAAAGTGTACTAATGCTTACGAAAAAAAAAAGTGTATTAACAATTAAAGTCCAAAATGATAGATTTGTTGTAAATTATAAGAGAAAAAGATAAAAACTATAGAAATTAAAAAAAGTAACACCAACAAGAGGGAAAATAACTTGTAACTTCTTCTCTCTCCCTTCTTTCTCTCTCTCTCTCTCTCTTTTTTATTTATCTAGGATTAAATCTAGGTAAAATACTAATTTTGGTCCCTCAACTTTATAGAGTTGCATTTTTTTGGTCCCTAAACTATTTTTTGTATTTTTTGATCCCACAACTCTAAGAGTTACACAATTTTGATTATTCCGTCAATTTGAAGCGTTAACTCTGTCCACGTGACATTTTTTATATTTTTTTTATGACGTGGAGAAAATAACTTAAAAATGTGCTGATATGGACAAAATATGATGCCATATCATATCTTCACGAATTAAACAGGTCAAAACCTCTCAAATGGGTCTCACATTACCTGCAAAGAACCAATAAAGGGATAAAATGTCTGTGAATCATAACGCTCTCTTATCTCCAGTCCATCTGCAAAATCGATCTTAACTCATATCTTCTTCTCTGAATGTTCTCTCATCTCCACTCCATCAAATTAACTCCTCAATAAAAAATGTCAATCAAACCCTAATCAAATTCCAATATAAATGCAATCAAATTGTAAATCAACTCCTAAATTTATCAAGAACTGGGAATGGGAATCGAAAGAAGAATGAGAAAACATGGTGAACTTGACAATCCCAACTCTAAAGAAAAATGAAAATCAACAGAACCTAGTTCTAAACCCAACAGTTGGGCTTTTTTGAACCCAGCAAAGTTGAGTTTTGTCAAACCCAGTCGATCTGGGTTCCATCGAACCTAGCAGCTAGGTTCAATGGAACCCAATAGAGTTGAGTTTTGTCGAACCAGCAAAGCTAGGTTCGGTGGAATCCAATCGATTTGGGTTCCACCGAATCCAACAGTCGGGTTTGATGGAACCCAGCAGATCTAATTAATGTTAACTGTTCTAGTTAATATTAAGCTGTTAACGAACACTAGTAGTTGTAAACAAACATTCTAAGTAATTTTTCAGAGTTTCAACTAGATTACAATTGCTATTTTAGTAAACACTAACCAAAAGCCGAATTCAAGCTGAAACAAATAGTTTGATGGAAATTCTCCCCCAAATAAATTGCCTTGTTCAATGAAAAATAAAAATAAATATTGAGAAACTGTAGAGAAAAGGAAAACAAGGTGAATAACGGGAGAGAAAGCAGTGAGACCCAAAGGATTGCAAGAGGACGAGAAGGCCGGAGAGGCCCATGGAATCAGAAGGGTGATGGAGGAGGAATCTAGTGCTGTAGCTCAAATCAGAAGAGTCGATGGATTGACGATGGTTCTTGAGATCAGTGGAGGCAGGTGAGAGGCAGCAAGTGGATCATCGAAGATGTCTTCGTACACGAGGAGGTCAGTTGGATCCAGTTGTAGCGGAGGCTCCACGTGGAACGATGGCTTGCAGAGCCTCATCACCAATTGCTAGTGTTTAATGGGACAATAATGTAATTTTGGTTTTTATTTATTTTTATTAAAATATAAATATTTAATTTACGTGACATTTTTATTTTTCCATTTAAATAATTATAAAATATGTTAGTAACAAGTCATCATTAAAAAAAATACCACATTAAAATATTTAACAGACACGTCATACTTAACTGACGGAGGGACTAAAATTATGCAATCTTTAGAGTTTAGGGATCCAAAAAATGTAAAAAATAATTGAAGGATAAAAAAAATGTAACTTTATAAAATTAAGGAACCAAAATTAACATTTAACCTTAAATCTATGTACGTTTTTTAGTACCTTCTTGTATACTAGATTAGTTTTTATTAAGAATTGTTTTATATTGTTATTTATATCCATTACTATTACTCTAAACAATAAAGAAATCTATGACATGAACTTTTAAAAATTTCTTTCTAAATATATGCCATCGTTATTTTAATAGAAATATAATTAAGGAGGCTCATTTTTTCTATTCAATCATGTGGGGTAGTATGCGCAAAAGTCCAAATTAAGTTAGTGCTACGTTTAAAAAAGTGCTCAAAAAGCCCTTTTCGCTAGGAGGATAAATATGTTGGAATTGGGTGCAATTTGTGTTCTTTGAGTTTTAAATATTTAATTTAATTTATTATTTAAGTTGCTAAGCTTGTGGAGCTCGGTTTTGCAAGAGAGGTAGTAATACAAGCACTTAGATTATTTGATGGCAACGAAGAGCAGGCTGCGGGATTTCTCTTTGGAGGCTGAAGAAAAAGAAAACTTGCATATTTACATTCTCTCAGACTATTCTTAGGTTTGTTGAATAGACCCTGCAAACTGAAAATTTTGTATTACATGTCTGAAAACCATTTTGATTCAAACTATTTATAGGTCATAGTCACTGACATGGTGCACCGGGGGAAAGCACCACGAAAGTGCACCAGGATTGCAAGTCAGGAAATTTCAGACTATACTCTGCAGACTACAAATAGGCCGGTGCAATTTTGTCAAAAGTGGCCACTAAATTCCACAAAGATGGCTAACTCCCAATTGCATTTTCACTTTTCATTTATTGCCTTATGTTAGATTTTGCCTATAAATAGCTATGTTCCCTTCGTTGTATGCATAAGTTTTAATCCAAAAATTTCAGTTTATAATTCTCCTCTGTTGAGTGAGGTTCGTGAGAGTGGATTTTCTCAATTTATCTCTGTATTTTAGGTCTTGCCAACCTAAGTGGTGAATCTGGCAATCAAATTCATTGTAGTGGGATTTTAAATCTCACCAAAATCAGTGTTTCAGTATCAGCTCCTATGCCATTTGGTATCAGAGCCAATATATTCAGAGTCTACACGTCATTCTGAGCATTCTGATGAAAACCCGGTCAACGAATAAGGTAGCACGTGCCTCCACGCACCACCGTCGTTGTCTCACGCGTCGGCCACTCGCACCACTGCAAATCGCGTGAACATCACGCGCCGGTCATCTTCAACCTCTTATTCGACACGTCATTAGCCATGCCATCGACACGTCATCAGCCACGTCATCATCCAGTCACGGCCACATCATCTATTGCCACGTCATCTATGCCACGTCACTTGACACATCATCAGCCACGACGGCGACACGTCATCACTGCAGCCGCACTCTTTTACCATGTCATCAAGTCCCTCAACTTATTTTGACCTTACAGATTGATCCCATAATTTTATAAATTTCAAATTACCCCCACTTTCAAATACTAACTTTCTAAAAAGCCCCTTACCAACCTAAACTCATCATGCCTCCTAGAAGACAAAATCCTCCTCGTCAATGAGCTGTTCGGGACATAGAAATGGAAGAACTACGTCAACAAATTCAAAGGCTTCAAGAAAGACTTGAAGCTTTTGAGGGACAACAAGCTCAACACCCGCAAGATGAACCACACGAGTCAGAGGAAGATACTGATGACGAGAATCCTTTCCATCACCTAAGGGATAATGAAAGCTCATCATCAACAGAAAAAGTTCATCGTCGACAACGTCCCCAACAAAATGCTGCTCCCAAATCCACTGACCTTGGCATCAAAATCGATATTCCAGATTTTGAAGATCGCCTTCAACCCGATGAATTTATCGACTGGTTGCAAATTGTGGAACGTGTGTTTGAACTCAAGGATATTCCTGATGACAAGCGTGTGAAGCTCGTCGCCATCAAATTAAAGAAACATGCATCTATTTGGTGGGAGAATCTCAAACGCAGTCAAGAAAGAGAAGGCCACAGCAAAATTAGAACTTGGGAGCAAATGCGTTGGGAGCTCACTCGTAAGTTTTTATTTGACCATTACTACCAAGATAATTTTGTTAAATTTCATAACTTGCAGCAAAAATCTTTGACTGTGGAAGAATATACTATGGAGTTCTAACAATTAATGATGAAGTGTGATGTTCGGGAAAAGGACGAGCAAACCATAGCTCGATATCTTGGAGGGTTAGACTATGACATTTCTAAAGTTGTTCAACTTCAACAATATTGGACTTTGGATGATGTAATTCGGCTAGCATTGAGGGTTGAAAAGCAAATCTCAAAGAAGAATATCACTAGTGCTTCAAAACCGCGGGATTTTGGAGCCAACAAAGGGACTCAAGCCTCAAAAACTGTTGCTAAAACCCCTGCCAAGACTGAGAAGGAAGTCAACTTGAGCCGTCCAGCTCAATCTAACACTCGAAAGTGTTTCAAGTGTTAAGGATTTGGCCACATAGCCTCCGACTGTCCAAATAAGAGAGTTGTCACCATTATTGGAGGAGAAATTCATGAAGCCTCAGAAGATGAAGCAGAAAAGGAGCAAAATGATGAAACTGAGTCACCCCAGCTTGAGGAAAAACTTATCCCAGCTGACCATGGAGAATCTTTGGTTGTGCGTCGTAGTCTACATGCTACCATAACCAAGGATGAAGATTGGCTTCGACAACATCTTTCACACCAGATGCACTTCTCGAGGGAAAGTCTGCAATGTCATCATTGACAATGGAAGTTGTGAGAATGTTGTGTCAAATTATATGGTTGAGAAGCTAGGTCTGCCTATCAAAGATCATCCCCATCCATACAAGTTACAATGGCTACAAAAGGGAAACGAGGTAAAAGTAACCAAACGTTGCCTTGTCTCTTTTTCTATTAGTAACAGGTACCAAGACGAAGTATGGTGTGATGTTATTCCTATGGATGCTTGTCACTTGTTACTTGGTCGCCCTTGGCAATTTGACCGAAAGGCTATCCATGACGGCCATGCCAACACCTACTCGTTTGTGAATGATGCCACTTGCCCTTTTCCAGAAGAAATCCGATCTCTCCTTGAAGAATTTTCTGATGTTGTTCTTGACGAGATCCCTCCTAGATTACCACCAATGAGAGACATTCAGCATGCCATTGATTTCATCCCAGGATCTGTCATCCCAAACAAGCCTGCTTATCGGATGAACCCTCAAGAGTATGTGGAACTTCAACGACAAGTCAAAGAACTGATGGAGAAAGGACTTGTCAAGAAAAGTGTTAGCCCATGTGCCGTGCCTGTGCTACTCGTCCCAAAGAAAGATGGAACTTGGAGAATGTGTGTAGATAGTCGAGCAGTCAACAAAATCACTATCAAGTACCGCTTCCCAATTCCACGCCTTGATGATATGC